AAATTAAAATAGTATCTAAAAGTCAAAACAGTTGCCAAGAAAGTAGAACAGATACTCAAAGTGATGTGAAAAGAGAAAGATATGAAAACAAAATTTTTTTTTGAGACAGTCTCACTCCATTGCCTGGGCGAGTGCCGTGGCATCAGCCTAGCTCACGGCAACCTCAAACTCCTGGGCTCAAGCAATCCTCCTTCCTCAGCCTCCTGAGTAGCTGGGACTACAGACACATACCACCAGGCCCGGCTAATTTTTTCTATTTTCAGTAGAGATGGGGTCTCGCTCTTATCTAGGCTGGTCTCCAACTCCTGAGCTCAAGCAATCCTCCCACCTCGGCCTCCCAGAATGCTAGGATTATAAGCATGAGCCACCGCGCCCAGCCAAGATATGAAAAATTAAAGGATCAACCCAGAAGGTACAATATTTAACAGAAGGATTTCAGAAAAAGGGGAGGAGTAAAGAAATTATAATGGAGGGAGGGATAAAGGAGGGAGAAGAGAGAGGGAGAGGAAGAGGGAGGGGGAGAGAGAAAAGGAAACAAGTGAAGAAAGGCAAAGGAAGAGAAAAGGATGAAAGAAGGTAGGGGAAGAGTTGGAAGGGAAGGGAAGGGTGGAGAGAAGAAAGCAGTGAGGAAGGAGAGGAAAGGAGAGAAAAGGATTTTCCAGAACCGAGGTTTTCCAAATATCCAGATTAAAAGGCCCCGCCAAACATTCAGCACAATAAATTTTTAAAAAGACCGAAAGAACATTAGGGTTAAAAAGAAGACCTGCAATGCTTCCAGAGAGTAGGGAATAAGAAGAGGAATTAGAATGGCATCAGCCTTATTATCATCAGTAATGGAAACTAGAAGACACTGAAGCAATGCCTTCAAAATTATGAGGAAAAATGACTAATACCTAGAAATCCATGTCCAGGCAAACTATCAGCTATGAGGCTAAAACACAGGCATTCTCAAATATGCTAGGATTCAAAAACTTCACTACCTACAAATTTCTTCTCAGAAAGTAATCAGAGAATGTGCTCCAAGAAAACGAGGAAGTAAACAAAGGAGGAGGAAAGCATGGGATTCAGAACATAAGAAATCCAAAAAGAATCCCCAAGAGAATGCAGAAAAGTAGTCCTACAAAGAAGAGACAGACCCAGAGACTGAGACAGAACCCTCTCCTCAGCAAATCTGGATTAAAGAGTGTATCAAAATTAAAAATCACACATTATATAAAAGTGAAAGACAAAAAAACACCATACAGTTGTGCCTTGAACAATAGGAGTTTGAAATGCATGGGTCCCCTTATATGTAAGTTGGCCCTCTGCACCCACCAAATGTGGATGGAAAATACTACATTTGCAGGATGTGAAACCCAAAGACATGGAGGGCCGACTTTTCCTATACGCAGGTTCCACAGGGCCAACTGAGGGACTTGAGTATGTGTGGATTTTGGTATAAGTGGAGGGAGTCCTGGAACCAATTCACCACGGCCATGGAGGAACAACTGTATATGAAAATCATGAGACACAGCCAAAGCAGTACTTCAAATGTACTTAGCGAAAACAAAATAGATGGGAAACCAAAAAAACTAATTTGCCCAGGGCAAAAACCTAGAAAAAGAACAACAAAATAAATAAAAAAGAATGAACAAAGAATTTTTGAAAAAAGCATAAGCATAATGTGATTATCACACTTAAAACTTTTAACAACTGAATTTTGCCAGAAAGTCAGTGTCTCAAATTTTAGTAATTAATATTTTCCTAAAAAACCATCCATTTCAAACACTTTTTCACATTTATTAACATTAAGCTATATAAAATATTCTCCTATAATTCTTTAAGTATCCTGTGTCTTACTTATTTTTCTCAAACTTATTTACTTGTGCTTTTTCTTCTCTATGTTCCAATAGGCTAACTTTGATTTACCTCTTTCATTGATCTGTTTTTCAAAGAAAAAGACAAGGAAAATAATAGGAAAATTGTTACCTGTAATAATCTCATAATTACTTGCTCTCTTCTTTAGATAACTGTAATATGGGGGAATAACTTCCTGTAGAAATATCACATCGGGGTTGTACCTAATTAAAAATATGAATTTATGATAAACACCAACTATACCATTTCATTTTCAGCTACCTAGATGAAGGAAGTCCCATGACATAACAAAAACAGAAAACTATTATCCTCTAGATCACCTAATATTCAGTGTTCACACTGATCTTTGATAACTATACAATGACAAAGATCTGTAACATTAACACGCAACACTGTAACAATCGTATTTTTAAAAACTGGAATGACTGATGATAAGAATCACTATACTGAGAGCCTACAAAGGTCCTACACTCTTAACAGATGCTTTCAATGTTATCTCTTTTGATCCTCCTCTTGAGGCAGTTATTATCCACAATGAAGAACACTGAGCTCCAGAGAACTTAAGTGGTTTGCCCATGGTCACAGAGCCCAACAAATCTTTTTGGTAATTTAAATTTCACAGCAGTAATTATATACAAAGTTTAATAAGAAAACAGCAGTAGAAGCCTTCTAACAAAAATTGAGTATTTCCTCTCCACCCCAGCCAGAAATTCTGCTCTCAGAGAAATCATCTCATTTCTTTCAGATGCTCCTTCTCAGAGCTGGACTTTGAACTCAGGTCTAATTCTAAAGCCCATAACCTTGAACTGACACTTTGTAGATACATAAGACATATTATCATGATACTATTAAACAGAAGTGATGATACTTACAAAGTTAAGTAGGAACACACCCCTCGAGCCCTCTCTTGCAGATTGTTTAGATCCAATCCATCAATATTCCAGGTAATGAAAGAGAACATGCTGCCATCTTCTTGCTGAGCATTTTCAGATGGGTTGACTTTAGAACTAGTGGAATCAGTTGTTTCTTCATTGGTTAGGTCAACACTGGCAAGAGCAAAATAAAATACAACCTTACAAATAATCTATAAATTGATTAATATTGAAGGATTATTTTGTATTTATAGCCTTCATTTTACCAATAAACTTTTAAAAAGCCTAAAAGTATCTACCTATAAGAGCAAAAGTTACATGACTGAGGAAAAACAGATTTTTACTGTGCTATCCAAATGTTTGCTTATATACTTATAGCCAATTCAATATCCTTCGACAACATGTATCACTAAAATAATTTCACAAACTATGACCCCAAATTAGACTAAGAAATGTAAGATTTCTAAATGTATAAATCGTATTTGATATAAGATCTCATTGTGGCAGACAAATAATGGCTGCAAATTCTTTGCTACTCCCCTCTTTGAGTGGTGAAGCCTAATACCCCTTCCTCTCTATCTGGGCCTTAGTAACTTGCTTGATTAATACAGTGGAAAGAATATTCTGGGACTTCTGAGGCTTGGTCATAAGAAGATTTGCAGCTTCCATTTAGGCCTTTTGGAACACTCTCTCCAGGAACCCAGAACTGCCATATAGGAAGCCCAACTACCCCGAGACTGCCATGCTGAAGCCATATGTATGTGCTCCAGTCCACAGTCCTACCTGACCTGGCCCCAGGCATGTGAGTGGAGGAATAAACATTACTGAAAGGTGACAGCCAACCATTTATAAACTATAAATTTTAAAAATAAGTTTTTGTATTTATAACTTTAATAAATTTAATGTTAATATTTTGCTTTTTATTTTGAAATAATTTCAGACTTTCAGAACTACAAAGACAATAAAGAGATTTCTATACACCACTCAGAGTCTCCAAATGTTAACATTGTACTTAATGTTTACTTGCTTTATTCTTTTTATTCTGAAACATTTGCTTAAATACTTTTGTATTATTTGCTAAAAATGAGGACTTGCTTACATATAGTCATGTATCATTTATGTTCCCAGAAATGCATTGTTAGGTGATTTTGTCATTGTGTGATCATAGAATTTATACAAACCCAGATGGTACAGCCTACTACACACTTAAGGTATATGGTATAGCCTATTGTTCCTAGGCTACAAAGCTGTACAGCATGTTACTGTACCGAACACTGTAGGCAACTGAAACACAATGGTTAATTATTTGTGTATTTAAGCATATCTAAACACAGACAAAGTGGGGTAAAAATACAGTATCATATCATGGAGCCACCATTGTAGAGTCAGTTTATCATTGACCAAAATGTTGTTCTGCAGTACATGACTGTATACCCTAGTATGATTATCAGAAGTGAAGAGATCGTAATATTATTACCTAATTTAAAGACCTAGTCAAATTTTGCCAATTATGCCACTAATGTCCTAATCCAGGATCACATGTTGCACTTAAAAGGCAAGTCTCAGCCAGGCGCAGTGGCTCACGCCTGTAATCCTAGCACTCTGGGAGGCCGAGGTGGGCGGATTGTTTGAGCTCCGGAGTTCGAGACCAGCCTGAGCAAGAGCGAGACCCAGTCTCTACCCAAAAATAGAAAGAAATTAATTGGATAGCTAAAAATATGTAGAAAAAATTAGCCGGGCATGGTGGCACATGCCTGTAGTCCCAGCTACTCAGGAGGCTGAGGCAGGAGGATTGCTTGAGCCCAGGAGTTTGAGGTTGCTGTGAGCTAATGATACCACTGCACTCTAGCCCGGGCAACAGAGCGAGACTCTGTCTCAGAAAAAAAAAAAAAAAAAAAAGGCAAGTCTCTTTTAATCTCCTTTAATTTGGAACAGTTCTTCAGTCTTTGTCTCTCATGGCCTTTACATTTTGGAAGATTTACTTTATAGGATGTCCTTGTTTGGGTTTGTCTGATGTTTTCTTATGATTAGATTCAGGTTATGCATTTTTTGGCAGTATTAACACAGAAGTGGAGTATGTTCTTCTTAGTGCATCATATAAGGAGGCACCTGATATGGATTTGGCTCAATACTGGTGATATTAACTTTGATCACTTGGTTAAAGTGTTGTCAACCAGGTTTCTCCACTGCAAAGTTATGATTTTTCCCCATTAAGTATTTTGTGGGTAAGTGCTTTGTGATTACGTAAAATATGTTGCTTCTCATTGAACTGCCAGTAGTTTAGTATCCATTAATGATACCTGCCTGAAATAATTATTACTATAGCAATTCCAAAATGTTGATTTTTCTAATTCCTCATACCTTCTACATTTAATAGTTGGAATTCTACTGTAAGGAAAAGCATTCCTTTCTCTCCTGAACAACTGTATTTATATGAATATGGATTCTTATTTTATTCTACGGATTATAACCTGTTCCTATCAATTATCCTGTTGCTTCAATTATATCTGATTTGATGGGAGATGAGGGTAGGCAGCTTTTAAGCTGGTTCTTGAGTTCTTCTGGCATATCCCCAACATTTTTTGGGCATCTCCTTACTTTCTGGCACGACAGATATCCCAGGCTCATCCTTGTACCTTACTTGCTACTGCTCTGGAGTCACTCATTTCTAAGGAGCCCTTGTTCCTTTTAGTAAAGAATGGTATTTAGAAGGCATGATCTAGGTGCTAGGTGAAATTAATGCCAATTTTGAAGCAAAAAATAAATCTTTTGAGTCATCTTCTTTTTACATTAAAAAAAAAACTTCAAGAACATCAAAAACCTTATGTTTAAGTGTAAAACTTTCCTTTGTGAATTTTATCCTCCCCCAAAATTCTCTTTCTCACTCAATAATCAGTTAATATACATCTTTTTTTCAGGTCTTATCACCAAAGAGAAAAAGCCAAGTGATCCCAGAGCCTGATCAAAGATGTTATTTCCTTCCCTTTTATTGGAAGCATTAAAAGCAGAAAGGATTATTAGCTCTCTATTCTGTTAAATCTATTCTTTCACAAATGGCACTTTAAATACATATATATTATCAAAGACAAAGGTGTTTACCACATTAGGCTCCTTACCTATCTAGCACACGCACCTTTCCAAAGTTTAAAAGTGCCCACCTATAACTTGATCTACCTCACACAAAATTGTAAACACCCTCCCTACTCTCCTCAATAGCAGACAACAACTGTTACCGGGTGATGTTGTGGGGAGAGCATAACGGTGTCACTAATCATAGCTAACATTTACTGAGCTCTAATCATGTGTCAGGCGCTATTCCAAGTTTTTTTACATCTGTTAGCTCAATTAATCCTTAGAACAACCCCACGAGATTGGTACTATTACTATCCCCACTGTGCAGATAAAGAATCGAGGCAGAGAGACATTACACAGTTACTAAATGGCACAGATGGAATCAGAACCTTTGCATTTGGCTCCAGAGTCCATGCTCTTACTCACTATGCTGTCTTTCTCCTCCAGTTTTGCTGTAACCCGATTTCATGTCTTAGCTATTTATGCAACATCCACAATATTTAATGCAGGAAGAAAAACTAGACAACTGTAAAAAAACTCCCAGTCAGAAAAATGGAAGGGAAATAAACTCCAAAATGGTGCTGTACAGAAATACTAAGGGAACTGAAAGGGCCTAGCTAATCTTAGGGGTATGATTTGTTGACTTCTGTTCTAAGCAGAGGAGTAAGTGCTTTAGTCAGTATATCTGGCGCCTTAGGTTCTTCTATGTTGTAGGCCAGTGCTCCTCAACTTTAAACCAACTGGGAACCCTCTCAAAATGTATATTCTGATACAGCAGATCTGGGATAGGGCCTAAGATTCTGCGTGTCTAACAAACTCCCAAGTAGTGTTATGCTGCTGGTCCAAGGTACACACACTTGAGTAACAAGGCTCTGGGACATGGGCTCTCAATGCCAGCTCCACATTACAATCACCTGGGGAGCTTCTAAAAAAAGAAAAAGCCTATGAGGGATAAATGGGCCCCACTCCAGATTAATTAAATTAGAATCTCTGGGGAGTGGGGCCCTAGGAAAAGTATTTTTTTAAAAAAATTCCCCAGGTAATTCTAATATGAAGCTAAAGTTCAGCACAACTGTTTTAAGAGGATTTCTCTTGTCTTTCTTCAGAGACACTAAAGATAGATTCCAATGTAGGGGGCTGACTCACCTTAGTGTTCAAATTCAGTCTTTGCCGATATCCTGGGAATTTACTGAAGAACTGAGAATCCCACCCCACTGGTTTAAGACAACCAAAGCCCCTGCTCAGCATGCTTGAGTTTTTCTGGTCATAAAATCTTCCTATCAGTTTCTTTTTTCCCTTTACTGCCATTTTTGCTAACGCCAACGTAAAAAACTTAATCGGGTCATGCGCCATGAAAACACAGCCCTTAGAAACACCTTGAAGCTTGTCCCTTCCCCATTTTTCTCTCAGTGAACTAAACTTTAAAAACCTCACTCTTGTTAGTACTTGATCTGAGTTCTAAGAGACAACCAGCTAATCAACCACTTTGCTTGTTTTTGTCAATTTACCATTCGGAAGTAGGGGATTCCTAATAGTACCCCATGCCACCATTACTCAACTTTGAGCCACATTTTTTTCTGAGATCTATTTCAAGGAATCCACTTACTTTGTTCCAATTTATTGGTTACAATTTAATCTGTTGCAACTAACAGATACCAAGTCAGGTTGGTGTGAGCAAAACAGGAGCATTTATAAGGAAATAGAAACATGTCACAGAGCCAAGTGCAGGAATGCAGCCATGCTTAAGAAGGAAAATCTGGGGCTTTCTCTCAATCTGCTTCATTCTCTCTCTGCAGACCACTGTTTTCAGCCTACCTGTGCACAAAAAAATGGGTACGGATCCCCACAGGTGCTAAATTAACATGTTAACAGTTCCAGCTCCACAGGAAGATTCAGATTTGACTCTCTTAGTCCTAATCCTGAAACCCAGGAGAGAGGATCTGACTGGCCAGTTTGAGCTAGGTGAACACCTCTTAGTCCAACTGGCTCTGGTTATTACAACATGGGAGCCATAGAAAAATCACTGGGTGGGTGGACAATTCCCCAAGAAGAGGCTAGGTAGAGAAAGGAGCCTAAGGCAATGATCTTATCACATCTGTAAGCCTGTACAGCTGAAAAATTCAAATGAAGAAAAAGAGCCTCCACTATGAACAGTCAACTGTACAGGCTGCCCATATAGCTGGGGCACTTTACGCATTCAGTACATATTTATTGAGCGCTTATTATGTGCCAAATATTGTGTTAGACTTTGGGAAATCAGCAATACATAAAACAGATACTGCCTTTACCAGCAATTATACTGTGGGCTAAGTTATTATAACAGGGGTCATGCAGGATGCTAAGAGCGTATCTAAAAGCGGAACCTTACCCAGATTTGGGACATCAGGAAAAGCTTCCTGGAGATAAGTCATGTCTAAATTAAGGCCTTTAAGATAAATATTAGATACAAGGAAGGACAAAGAAAAGGTTTCAAGAAGAGGTAATAAAAATCTTTACAAAAGTTGAAAAACAAGAGAAAATGGCCCACTAAATAAAGTTAAAGTTAGACAAGCTTGGAACTTTTGGTGGGATAGGAAGAGCAGGGTGGCAGGAGACCAATCTGGAAAGATAGGCAGTGGCCAAACTGCACAGGGACTTGTAGGGCATCTGGACTTTATTTTTCTTATTATTACTTTTAAAACTAATCCCGTGACCCATTATGGACTTTAAGAGCAGTAGTGCAGGAATTGGGGAGGAACAATGAAATAACCGGAGCGGAAGTGAACTTAAAAAAAAACTATCATTCCGGTTGGCCAGCCTGTAAAGTAAACAAACAATACAGGAAGCAAGGAGACTTCCAAGTCACCGTCATTCAACAGGGGATTGTGCCTCATTCATTTGTTTCAAACCTCTCGCTTACATATTTCCTATAATTCGAGCCAAAAATTACATTTCAGATTTTTCCTCCCTGGACTCCACCTTCAAAAAGACGTTATCCCCGCTGTTGGGGCGCATCTCCACTCAGCAGCACCAACACAAGCCTTTCGCTTTCGCCTCTGTCGACTGCCCAACGCACCCCAGAATTAAACTGCCTCCCCGGTCCCCTCATCACTTACTAGGTCTCAGGCTCAGAGGTGGTCTCAGGGCGGCTTTCCAAGGCGCTCTCCTCCACCGGCGGCTCGAAGTAGGAATTCAGCGCTCTCTGGAAAGCAAAGGCACAGGGATGAGGCTAGTGCGCCCCACCCACCTAGGCAAGGAGCCGGAAGTGAGGGACAGCAAAAGCGTACTTCCATCTCCCAGTCGTTCTCGGCCAGGTAGCATTGGGCCACGGCGGCGTCGCAGCTCGCGACCGAGGCAAACTCCACACACAGAAGCCGCCGCTTCTTCGCCTCGGGTTCGCCCTCTTCGCCCGCCGCCTCCGTCCCGCCCCCGAGCCGGTTCCCCTCCTCCATCTGCTCGCTGCCTTCTTCACCGCCCCCTCACGCAGGACAGGCGGCGGGCGCCCGGCTCTGCGCAGGCGCTAACTGGCCCACTGGGAAACGGGCTCCGCGGGTGGGCGTGAAACGCGCGTGCGCGGTCGGTCGTAAGAAGGCGCGGAACGACAGTGCGCGAGCCTTTGGGGTCGTGTGGCGGGCGCGCGCGCCGTGGGACGGGGAAGTCTTCGGGCTCTTCGACCTCTGTGTCCTTGTTCTTTTGCGAGGTTCTGGGCTTCCCTGCTCCTCGAAAGTTCATTCTTGCGCAGAGCCCCAAAGCCAGCAAGTCGTCCATGATGAGCTGCATGATAAAGACTGTGCAGGAGGCGATGAAGGTCCTCACCAGTGCTCGCGGTTTTGATAGAGTTTTGGAAAAGGTATTGGAGGCAAAGCAGAGGCTGGTAATGAAGGGAAAGAAACCATCGTGCTTAGTGCACGGTGAGCGCTGAATAAGTAGCTCTAGTTAGATTCCGTTCGACTACTCCTGTAAATTGACCTTAGTAAAAATGATTACTGCTTTAACGGAGCGCCTGTTACATATGCTAGATCGAACGCATAAATTCTCTCATCTAAACATAGGTTAAGTATGGTTATGATTAATGGAGACAATTCTTCAGTTCTAGAGCTGGAAAGGATTTCGGACTTGGATCCTTCAGCAAACAAGCGCCTGCAGTGCTTTGGAGGAACAAAAAGTAAGAGGCGGCCTCTACATTTAAGGCACATGCAGGGGTGGGGAACCTGCGACCTTGGGGCCACATATGGCCTTCTGAATCCCTGAGTGCGGCCTTTTAACTGAATTCAAATTTTGCAGAACAAATCCTTTTAATAAAGGATAAAATTTAGGGGCCGCACTTGGGAATCTGGAGGTTCCTGGTGAACGAAGGGAGAAGTTGTTCCTCCGTAGTGTTTTGGGAGATTTCACAAAGGTATTCAACTCCTGAAGAAGTGGGTTAGCTGGTGGAGGGAGATGGAATGCATTTCAGAGACCAGCACTTACAAGGCCCAGGGGTATTTTAAGAGTTTCATTTGGGGGAGCAGCGAAGTAAAGTACCACAGAATTGGGCAGAGCCAGTCCCTGCCCCTTTCACTTGAACAAACTAGCCCAGACTCCTAGTCTAGTGTTCAGTATCTTTTTAAAGAACATCATGTTCCATAGGAAGCATTTGTAAATAAGCATGAACAAAAGCCTTTGATATTGTCAGACACTTAACAACCTCAGCACGTCTGGGCTTTTTCTAAATGTTTTAATGCAGGCGTGTCTGTCTTTCTCATTAAGATAGAATGCTGGGAAATTTGGAAGTGGAGTTTAAACACAGATCAACTGCAGTCGTTCGTGGGTCTCCTTCCTGGAACACAGCTCTTAGGAGGCTGTATTTTAACAATGTAAATAATAACTGTCTCTGTCAGGATTTTTGTGAAAAACAGGAAATATACTTAGACAAATATATTTAATGTTTCCAAATAGCAAATGCTGTAAAATCCAAGGACATTATTATTTGACAGTAACTTTTTGAAAGATAAATTATCCAGAAAAGAGTGTATTGGTCTAAGGGGAAATTTGAATTCCTTAAAAAATCTGAAGCCATTTTCCTTAAGCTTTCAGCAACCTTGTGTGTATCCCTCCTGATAATCTTGCAATGGGTTGGATTGCCTTTGAATATCTGGTTAAAATCCTCATACTTTGATCGGACACACTGGAACAGCCATAAACTACATCCTTGCCTGAGTTGGTGGTGGCAGCTTGTCTTTCAAGAAGACCGATATGCCTGTTGAGCCAAATGTAGAGTTTCTCAGAAGTTGCGGTAAAGTCAAATAGTGGTACGCATTGTGTCTAGACTAGCGCTGTCCAGTAGAAATACAATGCAAGCTAGAAATGTGAGCCACATGTATAGTTATAAATTAACAGCCACATTTTAAAAGTAAAAAGAAATATGTGAAATTAATTGTAGTAACATAGGTAACACAGCGTATCCAAGATATTACTCTAACATGTAATCATTATCAAAAAGTATTATATTTTTTCATACTTAATCATTGAAATCCTGCATGAATTTTATACTTAGAGCACTTTTCAATTTAGATTACTGACATATGACTAGTGGCTGTTGAACTGCATAGGTTGATACCATAGTAGGGTGCTCTGTGTTTACTAATTTGGTCTAAAAGAGGTTTTGTGGTTACTTTTATGTGGGCACCAATTTAAAGTAACATGACCTAGACAAGTGTTTCTCTGTTGGGGGTGATTTTGTTCCCCAAAGGATATTGGTAATGTCTGGAGACTTTTATTTTTCTTTATACATGGTCTCACGCTGTCACCCAGGCTGGAGTGCAGCAGTGTCCTCATAGCTCACTGTAACCTCAAACAGCTGGGTTAAAGTGATCCTCCTGCCTCAGCCTCCTGAGTAGCTGGGACTACAGGCACAGTGCCACCACACTCAGCTAATTTTTCTATTTTTTTGTACAGATGGGGTCTCATTTTTGCTCAGGCTGGTCTTGAACTCCTGGTGTCAAGTGATCCTCCCACCTCAGCCTCCCAAAGTGCTAGGATTGCAGGCATGAGCCACTGTGCCAGCCTGGAGACATTTTTGATGATCACAACTTCGAAAGAGTGGGAGGGATGCTACTGGCATCTGCTGGGTAGAGGTCAGGGATACTGCTAAATATACTATAGTGCACAGATCCGTTCCCGCTGCCTCCACAACAAAGAATTATCGAGTCCAAATGTCCATAGTACTGAGGTTGCAAAAACCTTGACTTAAACCAAAGGTTAACCATCAAAACAAAATTCCTGCTCTTGCTGTAAAGATCACTTTTAAATTAGTGAACAAACAAAGTACTGTGGGATTGTAAAAAAAATACCAGCCACAGTTCTTGCCCTCTAGGAATTTATAACCTAGGAGAGAAAAGTATATTCCAAGGAAGAGTCCCATCAGATGCACCATGAAAAATAAGTTCAGAAAACATTGATTTTTGTATCTTTTTAAAAAATTTTTGGTAAAATACACATAAAATTTACTGTCTTAACTTTTTAAGTGTACAGTTCTTAATATTAATTATATTCATATTTTGGTGCAACCATCACTACTATCCATCTCCAGAACTCTTTTCATCTTGCCAAACTGAAACTCTTTACTCTTTAAACAGTAACTCCCAAGTTCCCCTGTCCCCCAATGCTGGCAACCACCATTCTACTACTGTCTCGGTGAACTGACTACTCTAGATACCTGTAGGTGGGGATGTTGTGTTCCTTTTACATATTAAAACTTTTGAGTAGTTCTGCAATAAATAAACATGTTTAACTTTTATCATATTTAAGTTGTTTGCCAGTGGAACCTTTCCCTCACAATAACATGTGGAGGAACATACATTGGGAATCTCAAGTGACAGGCACTGTGCTAGGATTTGGAAATACCATGTGAAATCCAACACTCATAGAAATAAGGGAGTAGAGTTCAGAAGCAAAGTAAAATTGTGTAGTCTCATTCTTATGGAAATTAGAGATGAAGATGTAAGCGAATAAGATGTCTCAAGAGAGAGACGTGAGAGAGAAGAGATAAAGATTTAGGACTGAACCTGGAAGACATACAGGATTGAGAGAAAGAAAGCCTGAGGAGAACACAGAAAGGTAAGAATAGATCTTGTACTTACTAGAACAACTTTGAGACTTTGGATTGACCACAAAAGGGCAGTAATATTATTTAAAATTTATCAACATGGTATGCTGACAGATATTTTCAAATTCATTATTGGTCATTAAAATAGTCTAGGTATAAGAAATGCACAATAAAATAATAAGGCAAGATTTTCTGAAAGATTTATGTACAAAAATATTCATTGCAGTGTATTTATGATGTCAAAAATGGGAAATAACCTAAATGTGCAACCGCAGAGGAACTGGTAAAAGAAATCACAGTAGCTGCATGTGAAGGAGCCTGGTGTAACTGAGAGTCATGTCTTTTTTTTTTAATTGTTTTTTTCAAGAGTTATGTCTTTAAAAGTGATTTACTAACATAGGAGCATGTCACTAAATAATTTATAAATGTGTAACTTTATAATTAAAAATTTTTATCATAATTTATTTTAAAAACATTTATATAGCACTTACTATGTGTCAGGCACTATCTTACCCACTTTGCTAATATGAACTCATCTTTCTAGGACAAAAGATACAGTAAAAGTCAAACTATAACAGTCCGAGAAGCCTTCCCTGGCAGCCCCAAATGTCTTCCTCTGGTCCACTTTTACACCTTGACTAACTTTTGTTATGGGATTTACTGTATATTACTGAAAATATCTGTTGATTTGTCTGTCTTCTCTCTCCACAGTGAGAGCTCTTTGGGAGCAAGTTCCTTAGTAGATGTTTAATAAGCATCTGTCAAAGGAAATTGCAGTGCCTAGTGGAAGGTGCCCAGTAGAACACCTTTTCTGTAGAAGATTATCCTAGAGTTTGTTCAGTAAGATGCAACTGAAGACCCTAAATGTTGGGCATAATGTTACAGAATGTTCCTGGTAGACTTTCATGTTTGAATCTATTTATTCAACAAATATTTGAGCGCCTACTATATGCTAGGCACCATTCTAGGCACTGAAGATATACCAGCAAAAAAAACTGGCAAAAATCCTTGCACTCATGGAAGTTATATTTTAGTAAAGCAAATCAAACACTATACAAAATAACTATATAAAATATATAGTATGTTAAATGGTGATAAATGCTATAAAAGAGAATAAAGCAGAGCTGGAAGGTAGAGAATATTGGTGTAGGAGAACTTAAATATTTTTCCCCCTAAAATGTATATTTCTATAAAGTTCTTTTTGAGTTCAATTTTAAATTTCATCTGGAAAGATGTCACTGAAATGGTGACTTTTCAATAAAGGCCTGAGCAAATCATGGATACTGAGGGAAGAGTGTTTCAGGAAGGGGAACGACATATGTAAAGGCCCTGCGACTTTACAACGCTGTGCTTTGCAGTGTCAAGGGGGTAGTCCCAAGGAGACTAGCACGATGGAGGACAGAGGAAGCTAGCAAGGGGCCAAGTTATGGATAAGATGAGATCATGCATGCTTTTTAGGTCACTATAAGGACTTTGGCTTTTACTCTAGTGAAATGGAGCTCCATTAGAGAGGATTTTAAGCAGAATGGCATAATTTGACTTGTGCAGCAGCTTTCTTGACTTACGATGGATAACATCTGAATAAACCCATCATAGTTTGAGATATCAAAGGTATCTCAATTTATGATGAGTTTATCTGGACATAAGGCAGGGATTATACTGAAAACATATCACTTTTGCACCATCGTAAAGTAATTATAAGTCAGGAACCATCTGTACTTTAAAAGGAGTGCTCTTGTTGACACTAGATATAGGGGGACAAG